CAGTAAGGAGAGAAGAACATAATGAAAAAAAAACAGGAAAGGGCTCTATACAGGCATTTTGATAGCATCATTGTTCTTCCTTCTGCAGCCGGGAGACGGAGGGAGGCTGAGCTGAGGGCAGGTGAGAGGGACAAGCTTCTGGCTTGGTGACAGGTGTAGCTGGCAGGGAGCCTGGGGGGCGGGGGGCAGAGAAACGCCCAGACGGAGGGACTTGTCCTTCTCTAAAGAGGAGGGAACTTCGAGAACGAAAGCATGAGTGGGTTTGGTCCTATGCAACGGGGCAGGGCCACGGGTGAAAGAAGATTCAGTCAGAAAAAGCTGCTGAGCAGAGGAAACAGTGAGGCTTTGCCGGAGGCGGCAGATTCACAGCTCCTCCCGGGTTTCAGAAGGAGCTCAGAGCAGGCACCCTGCTGGCTGGCACCCAGCGTGGCTGTCCCCAGAGCTGGCACCCTGCTGGCTGGCACCCAGCGTGGCTGTCTCAGGAGCTGGAACCCTGCTGGTACCCAGCATGGCTGTCCCAGGAGCTGGAACCCTGCTGGTACCCAGCGTGGCTGTCCCCAGAGCTGGCACCCTGCTGGTACCCAGCATGGCTGTCTCAGGAGCTGGAACCCTGCTGGCACCCAGCGTGGCTGTCCCAGGAGCTGGAACCCTGCTGGTACCCAGCATGGCTGTCTCAGGAGCTGGAACCCTGCTGGCACCCAGCATGGCAGTCACAGGACCTGGAAACCTGCTGGCACCCAGCGTGGCTGTCCCCGGAGCTGGAACCCTGCTGGCTGGCACCCAGCGTGCTGTCCCCGGAAGAGGCAGAGAGCAAAGGCAAGATGTCCTTTCTCGGAAAGGCCTGGGCAACGACGCTGACTGAAACAGAACTAGCGACGGGCCAGGCAGTAAGGCCAGCTCCGGATGGACGTGTTTCCAGGGCATGGGGGCCCCACGTGAGCCAATCGCGGTTTAGGCCTCCGAGGCCTTGTCCGGAGAAGGCGAGCTCAGGCTCGTGGTGGTGCCCTCCGCTCGCTTGGGAGCGTCTGTGGGGCGGAGGCGCTGCCCGCGGCTCAGTGCAGGTAGGTGGGGTGATTCCATCGGTACCAGGGCCTGGAGGGAGAGAGCAAGCCCAGCACCAGCGGCGGGGCAGGAAGGTGGGATGGTGGGAAGGTGGGCCAGCAGGAAGGTGGGAAGGCGGGAAGGCGGGAAGGTGGGATGGTGGGATGGCGGGAAGGTGGGAAGGCGGGATGGCGGGAAGGCGGGAAGGCGGGAAGGCGGGAAGGCGGGATGGCGGGAAGGCGGGAAGGCGGGAAGGTGGGATGGCGGGAAGGCGGGAAGGCGGGAAGGTGGGATGGCGGGAAGGCGGGAAGGCGGGAAGGTGGGATGGCGGGAAGGCGGGAAGGCGGGATGGCGGGAAGGCGGGAAGGCGGGAAGGTGGGCTGGTGGGATGGTGGGAAGGCGGGAAGGTGGGAAGGTGGGCTGGGCTTCCTGCTGGGGGCCGGGGTCCTGGAGCTGACAGCGCGCGCACTAGCCCGCGGCCACTGTCCCACAAGGACAAGCTTGGTGGTGTAGGAACTGCGTCTCACAACCATTTTCCAGGTGGACTTTAGGGTTCTCTCTCTTTTTCAGTGGCTGCAGTGCAGCCATTGTCGGTGAGAGCTGGCAACTTGCCTGAGCTGCTGTCTTGAACCTGGGGTTCATCTCTTTGCACAGCCAGGCCTCTGCCCTCTCACCTCCCACCATCTCCTGGGTTCTGGGTCTGGGACCCCACCCCCCCAGCTCTAAGAACACTCTTCAGGGGAGATTCTTTGACCCAAGAGGCTATTTCCCTCACGTGCACCCTAACTTCACGCTCTCGCTGTGTCAGCCACATGGGAAACTCCGGCTACTGGCAGTAAGTGGGAACTCCTACGCAAGGGAGGGCCTGGCCTTCCGACAGGAGGACTGGGACTGTCCCCCTTCCCAGGGCGGAGGGAGGGGAGCTCCTGCCCAGAATGCTCAGCGGCTGAGCCCCTCTTTGGACCCTGCTCCCTTGGGCCAGGCCCAGTTGGACTCCACGCTCTGGCCCCTCCCGCCATCCTATCCCCCTGTCCGACCCGTGATCACATTCTTTTCCAAGGCTCTGACCGCACCCCTCACATGCCCCTGGCCCAGCCGCATGCCGGCCTCTCCCGGCACCTTACCCTGAAGCGCCAAGGCTGGAGGAGTTGGCCGCTGCCTTGGCGTTGTGTTGAGAAGAAGTGGGGAGGCCTGCGCTGGGCGAGGAGGGCCTGCTGCTGCTCCCAGGGGAACAGGACGAGGTCACTGAGGATGAGGAGAGGCAAACACAGGGGGTCATGTGGCTGGTCCTGCAGGGACCCCAAAGTGCTCTCGCCCTCTCCCTGCCCCATGCATCCGCCCAGCCCTGCCATCTTGGCATGAGCTCCCAGACCCGGGAGGTCCCTGCCAGTGCTCTCCTCAAACCAGGCCCTGAGGAGTCGCATGCACGGCTGGTTCTGTACATCCTAGACTCGTGAACACAAGCAGGGCGGAGGCCAGAGCCATCCCCATGCAGGGCAAGCCTGGGGTGGGGGGCATGGCAGCCCCAGCACCAGAGGTGGGAGGGGAAGAACAGGAACCCACAGGAAGGAAGAGGAGGGGGAGGGAAGCAGGGAGCAGGGGAGGAAGAGAGCCGAGAGCACAGTCCGAGATCGCCAGCCTCCGGTGCTCCCATCGCCACAAACAGAAGGTCCATGGTCTTCGAGAAAAGCCCAACAGGGAGAGAGGGGACCAGGCAGTCCCTGTGGTGGGCGACTGGCCTGGCAGCCCTCACACTCCTGTGTCCTCCGTCCAATGGCAGATTTGGGTTAAACTGGGCTCTTGCATTTGAGTTTTCCAAACAGCATCCCATGGATGAGGTGACACATATCTCGCCACCCAAACGAGGGCTTTGAAGAGCGGCGAGAAGCACTGTTGATAGTTATGGCGCATCCCGACCCATGGCCACCCTACTTCGCTTTCTGAAACGCTACAGGCACTTGCTGAAAAGCAGGCTCTGTGGAACGTTGGTTTGGAAAACCCTGCCTGCCTCCAGCTTCCCACGGCTCAGGTAGGAATGTACGATGCACACGAGTGCTGAGAAGCACTGCGAGCAAAACAAACCGAGAAACACACAAAACCTCGCCTGCTCAGCATCCCACAAACTTACCTGGTCAGGGCCCCTTCCCTCCACCTAGACTGCATCCCTTAGGAGTTCTGACTTAGGCCAGTGCCTTTCGGTGCTAACATGGCGTTATTTAGAGGAACTCTGGCGCCACTCAGAAGCTGCATTTCAGAGCTCACCTGTTCCAGGCACGGTGCTGTGGACGGGAGGGATGGCGAGGGGGCCCAGAGACCCGGAGGGAGAGACCTGGAAGGCGACACAAGCGTGTAAATGTCCACGTCCCCCCCTGCTCCCACCCGGGGCTCCCCCAGCATGCTGGGCCCAGGGTGCAGGGACCAGGTCTTTGCTTTCTTGCCCATTTCCCAGTCCAAACCCACATTCTGTCCCATTTCAGGGACCCTGCCCACCTGCTGTGTGAGCCTGGAAGCTTCCTGGGCACCACCGGGTCCCAGCTGTGCTCGAGGCTCAGCAATGGAGGGCACTCCCCATCGGCCCCACTGCTTCCTGCTTCTGCTCAGGGGCCTCACCGCCTGCCTCAGGCTGCCCAGTGTGGACCCTCCAGAGGTCACCGGAGGAGCTGGACTTTGGTCTCTGAAGCTTTTAATTTTGCCCTGGAGACTCACAGCATCACCAGTGCTGGGCTTTGGCGGGGACGAAAGATATAGTCTACCCTCCCACACAACTCAGGAGCCCTCCCCCCACACGGCTCTCCCAGCACCTGGAACAGGATGGAATCGGTAGAATGGGCTTTGGAGCCCAGCAGATGCGGGAGAAGACCTGGCTCCACCATCGACTGTCCGTGTGACTCTGGGCCAGTTACTTAACCCACTGGGAATTGGTGACATAGCAGCAACCCTCCTCACAGTTTCTTTCCATTAACATTTAGTGTGATCATGTCCATGAAACTCCCAACTCAGCACCTGGCAGAGAGTGAGCCTAGTTACGCGTCAGCCCTTCCTTCCTGAGGGAGCTGGCAGCCGTCATGTCTCTAGCCCAGTGGGTCCCAGCGTGGGGCACACGCCCCACAGGGGGGCCATTTGACTTTTAAGGGGGGCATTTCTAGAATGAGTTATTAACAGTGAATTTTTTGCATTTCTAATGGTTCTAGGGGGCCTCATATCCTATATAATAGAGAGGTAATATTCAAATTAACCCTCACACCGTCATGCCATCACAAGATGGCTGCACCCACAGTGGAGGTGGGGTTCCCATAACAAGCTGTAATGAGCGATCAGCAGGACCTGAGGCTGCACCCCCCCCGCCTGGCGGGGCTTGACGGGGGACCTCAGGCCGCACCCTCCCCCCAGGCCAGGGGACCTGAGGCTGTGCCCCCTGCCCAGCAGGGCTTGACAGGGGTGGGGCCAGCTGGGTCTGGATCTCGCCCAATGGGGGTGGGGCCAGCCGGGTCTGGGTCTTGCGTGATTTTGAGGCACACACAGGTGGGCGGGGACTTGACTCTGGTTTCCGTAGCATGCCCCAGACTCTGACAGGAGGAAGATTTTCATATACGTTTTACTAATTTTCTTTAATCTCTGACACTTCTATTATAGAGAAAGGGCAAATAGCAATATTAAAATATTTCCTCTAATTAGTTCCTTTTTAATGTGCACAAATTTCATGCACTGGGCCACTAGTCTACAGTAATAAAAGACAAAGATGCAAATTGACCTTACCTTTGCTATGCCTTAAGCCACGCCCACCAGCCAATCAGAGCGACTGTATGCAAATTAACCCAACCAAGATGGCGGCCGGCAGCCACGGAGCTGGAGCAAGCAGGAGACTTGGTTGCCCCAATGATGGAGGAAGCCAAGCTTCCCGGCTGGCTGCTGCCTCCTCTCAAGGCAACAAAGTTTCAATTATAGAAGGTAAATAAACCCCAGATACCTGCTTCCAGTCAACCAGTGGCCACGGAGCTGGAGCGAATAAAAAAAAAAAGGAAAGACTG